AAAACTGCGGGGAACTCTGCAAAAAACGCATCTTCGCACGGGCAACCCGTGCGTTGGCCAATTTTTATTGATTGCTCTCGTACTTTTTTTACCATGGATTTTCCTACTTCAGAGAAGATTGTGCAGCACAATTATCTAAGGCGCTTATGGCTATCAAGAAAAAGCCAGAGGGAGTATACGTTCAGGCGAGTACGCTAGGTTCGCTGGAAGCCTTACTTGAATTCCTAAGGGTAATATTTTAAAGTTTTCTGTTATTCTTGTGAAGTCAGACATTAAGGCAATTTTATATTTTGTTAATACGAACGCATTTGTAGCAAGAAATGGGAATTTAGACATATAATTGGTTAATTGCCTCAGGTAGATTTTAACACATTGAACACACATTTCAACAGTAATGGTGGCGCTCTTTGCATGGTATCCTACTTTCTGCCTCCATTTCCTGAGACTATGCTGAAAAAGTTTGCTCCGTACTGTCCGTACACAGGTTTGCTTGAGATCTAGCTTGCCTTTCAAGCAGTTTCGTAAGAAAACTTATCAGAAGGACTGCTAAAAAGTGTTATTATTCGTGTCGTAGATGCGCGCTGTGTTTTTGTTATGCAGAATATCTAATGATCTCGTTTTGAGCCAATTTTTGCTATTTTTTATGCATCTTTGCAATGTAAAAACATATGTTATGGAAAATTGTGTGGTGTGTGTGTGTGTGTGTTGTCTCTGTGTGTTTTTTTGTGTGTGGATGTGTGTATGTGTCTGAGTTTATACGCCCATGTGTTTCATTCTCCATATTATAAAACAGTAGAGATAAACTACTTGGCAAACTACTCAGCACTGTGGATGGACGCCTGGATGTAGAATAAATGGCAACTTCCTCTTAGTTTTTACTCACAACACGTAAAAGGTGTTTTGGCGAGTAAGCCATTTCGAGGACCAGCTAATCCACAAAATGCTTCATATGTAGCTCAAAGAACTTAAATTCAGCCTTCACACACGCTTGCATTTTGCATACGAACACATCAAATTTCAAATCGAGATATTTTTGACACTACGTCAACTCGGAAGTCAGACTCGTTAGAACCTCAGTTTTCACGAGGTCATCTGCCGGCCATGCCCGTGCTCGTATTCGTAAAATGAAATTTCACATCTCCCTTATATCGCACGTGCGGTCACGTAAAATTTGACAGTTCTGTGCTTCCGTAAATAAATTAGCCGCAGAACTGAAATTGTGGAAGCTCGCTCCACAATAATGTGCGGGCAGATTTGCATGTAATCAGCGTTATCCCACATACGGATACGTGAAATTTGGCGCGGACAATTTTGTAACTGGTTATGCAAATGCTCGCGGCTCTCCCTTGGTGTTCGCAGTGACTTATTTTTGCTAGTTTTCACAGCGATATTTGAAGCTGCATTTTTTACTTCCCTTGCTAATTCATCATTTTTTAAGGCATCTTTTTTATAGAAACAAAAAATACCATACTCAAACGTGAACATCGGTCCGGTGCACAAGAAGGATGTGCAAAAGGCAGCGGCGATGCTGGAAAGGAAAGAAGAGTTTGCCTGCATACTCGCGTTCGATGTTCGCGTTGACCGAGAAGTGGAACAGTTCGCTGCTAGTGAAGGTGTTCGTATTTTCTCTGCTGATATCATCTACCATCTAGAGGACGATTTTCTGAAATACAGGTATTGCTTGATTTTTGCCAAAGTTTTCAGAATTTAAGTATCTGCTTCTCAAAGCTACTTTCCAATGAATTTTTAAAGAGTTAATAATAATGTATTGTTTTATCCTTTCTCTCTGCGAATGCAAATAGCACCGTTCCTAGTTAGCTCTCTATGAGCTACTTGCAACTGTAGAACTCTATATAAGCATTCGAATGTATTGTTCTTCCTTACTGAAAGCTCATTTCTTGACAGTTTCACGGATGGGTGCGGTTGAGAGCCCACTTTGTCACACTGCTGTTTCTAACCTTTGTTTATTTTGTAACTAGCAGTGACTAGACGGCTGAGGAAACAGAAATAAATCACTGAGAATATGAGGATTTCCCGGCTATCAGTGTGGGTATTCCCTGTTACTGACGTTACTAGGATGCTCCCAAAATTATGCAGGCTCTTCGATCTTGAGCTGCGTACTTCTAATTAGTACCCACCACCTGTTCTGTGTATGTGTACCACCTCTTCGCGGATCGTTATCGGTTTACTTTTTTGTGAGCACCGCACACTCTCACGCATTGTCCACCAGGTGTCGACAGGGCTAGCAACATGTTGTGCTCATCGGTTTTATTTATTTGCGTGGACGCTGTGGTATCCTGAACGTCATTC